TAGAGTGCCATGGCATCAGCCTAGCTCACAGCAACCTCAAACTCCTGGGCTCAAGCGATCCTCCTGCCTCAGCCTCCAGAGTAGCTGGGACTACAGGCATGCGCCACTATGCCCGGCCAATATCTCCTTTTGTATGTTTTTTGTTTCCTTTCAATTTGATGAGATTTCCCAGAAGTTAATCCATATAATTAATTGGTCATTTCAAGGAATCAGCTAATTTTCCTATTTTTATATTTATTTTATTTAAACTTTTATTTTTATTAATTAGCATTTCTTGCTTTTTTGTTTTTATTTTCATGTTTTTGCTTAACTTTGTTCTTTTTTCTAATTTCCTGAGTCCCAATTCAATTATTTTTGGGTTTCCAGTCTTTTTTTTAAATAGTAAAGGAATTGGGGCTATACACTTTGCTCTACGTATAGCTGTGTCCCCAATGCTCTGGGATGAAATATGCAACTACAGAATTGATTTCTCACTTTGATTCAAGGTATTGAGGACAGTTTCTTAGGTTCTTACTTCTTAAGGTAGTTTAGTTGTCTTTTCTTTCTTTTTATGTAGTTCTGTTTTTTACTATGCTCAGAGAATATAGCCTGTTGAATATGAACTTGTAAACGTGATTTAATATTTTCCCTGTGGCTCAGATACTCAACTGAATTTTATAAAACATTTATGGATATGAAAGACGAAACTATGTTATGTTTCTTAGGTACAGATTATTCATTAGAACTTTTCAATCTAGTTTGATGATTAAGGTTTCTTCCCTCTTTTGTCTTTCTGTCTACTTCAGCTGTTATATTATCAAAAGGTAAAATAAATCTGTTGTGATATTTTAAAACAAATTTCTCCTTGTGGTTCTGTGTTTTTTGGGGGAAGGGAATCCTAAAGGATATGTCTTGGGCCATTATGTATTTTCATTATTTTTGTCTACTGAGTGCTTTTGACTTTGAATTTTACTTTTATAAATTCATAGCCACAGCTTTAATTTCGCTGCCACTTACCTGGTGTATCTTAGCCTAAACCTATATTTTGCATTTTTCTCTTTAAGATATACTTCTTATAACTTTATATAAGTATATATTTTTTTACCCTAATTCCACATTTGTGTCTTCGGATTCAATCCGTTTAAATTTGTGTAATTATGATAATCTTCTCTGTAGTATAATATGCATATTATTGACTTTATTATTTTCTAAATACAATTTTTATCCTTTCTTCTTCCTAATGGCTAAGTGAAGTTTCTGTTCATTTTTGTCCCTCCCTCTTACCTCATTAGTTTTTATTTTTATTTTTACTAATTGTCCCATTATATGCTTTTTCCATTTCTAATAGGCATGACTTAATTTATGTTTTCTCTACTATTTGATCAAAATAGAATCGGACCTTTCTTTATAGGGAAAGAAGCTTTATCCTCCAGATTTGCCTCAGCAAGATGAACAGTATTGCCTTTTGATTTTTCTAGAAAAATTTAAGCTGTTTATTTGAAGGCTACATTTTGCTTTAGTTAATTCTGCTTCAAGAAATCTCACTTAATATTTTTGTTCAAAATCCCCAGTCATTTCATCTGTCATAATTAAACGTTAGCTATATCAGTGTGTGCCCAGGGCTGTGTATTTTACTACAAAAGTCATTGCTAACCATTGTTTTGCTGTCTTATTTTGAGATCTCTCTTCTGATTTAGAATAGGTCCTTGAGTGTTTTCCTTAAACAGAGGAAGTTGCCAGAATACTCTTTAAATTATTTCATGTCTGAAACTATCATTTTTTTGCCCTGACTGAGGAATGGTATCTTGGGAGAGGGTATAGGATCTCTGCAGGGTGTCTGAGGGAGAGGTCTGGGTGGGAGCGTCCATAGCCAGGGAGACACTCCCCTCATCTAGCAGGGGTCCTCCCCTCTGCATCGGCTGTCAGCTCCGGGATGGCCTCCTTGTCACGGGGGCTCGGAGTCATGTGGTCAGTCATCCAGTATATATTCTGAAACTGTTATTTTAGTTTTGTTTATATAATTATATTCATAATATAAAGTTATATACTATAAATACCTGCAAAGAAGAAAATAAAAATGATCTCTAACTCTACCATCTCCTAAATATAAATTCTATTAACAGTTTATTTGCTTCCATATATTTTTTCTAGGTATGTGCTTCAGTGTTTGTGAACGTTCAGTATATTCATAGATGCCCTTTTAGTTTAAATGAAAATAAATCACGTTGTTTGGTTACTTTCTCTTTTTACTTTATATTCTAACTTAAATATTTTTTCATGTCAGCAAGTATTTTTGTATACAATTTTAACAGCTGCATAATATTGAGTCTTTGAATGTGTCATAGTTTATATACTATACCATGAATATTAGCAAATATTTATGAAAGATGGTTTTGGTTTTAACTGTCATTAACACCACTGTGATAAAATTTCTGCATTTAAATCTTTGTGCACATATATTATTATTTTCTATGGAT